AAACCTATATCAAAGCCTTTTATTTTCTGAGACTTTCAAGCATAAAAAGGATGCAAAACACCATTAAACCATTATAAATGTCATCCATATGAATTTTTTGTTTGTTTGTTTTTGGACTGACATGGGGTGACAGAATTTGCTTTTTGACAGTAAAAAGTACAAATATAACGAGGTCATAGAAACTCATAGAAATAAAATAAGAAATAATAAGAAAAATAGTTTTAGCAGCACTGCTTGACATATGTCAACAACCAAACTGCTCATCATAATTCAGTGTATATTACCAATTCCTGTTCCAAATGCCTTCTTGTAAAATGATGCTTATGAATCTCACTGCTGTAAAATAACAATAGCATTTTGTGCAGTGCAGTGAAAATATGTAGGTGCGGTAAACCAGGGATTTACCATTGATGTGACATTTCTGGTCCTCCACATCTTGGACCTACGGTTCCCTGGTATTGTTGGTTTCTGCAGGTTGTTAAGCTATCCAGCCAATCTGCAGGATATAAAAAGTCTGTCAGTGTGGGTGCACACTGTGGGGGCCCTTTTTCAGTATAAAATATGTCTAAAAAGTTGTCAGGTGTTTTTTTTTTTTCACTTTAAAAATGGCATCATGTGAGTTGAGTTGTGGTTTAGCTGCAGCTGTGTCAAAAAAATAAAATAAAATCTGAAATTGCTCAGCATCAGACAGGACAAAGGTGCTCATATCTGACGTACTTCTTAGAGTCACAAAATCATAACTTTTTCTTATAACTTTATGTTATAAGGACTGTGCATTTTTACAATGCAAGTTTGAGTCAGACTGCAACTGATTCTTCTAATAGCATTATATAGTACATGCAGTTTATAAATTATATCTATAGAGAGACTATATGTATTTTAACTGATTCTAATAGCATTATTATATAGTACATGCAGTTTATAAATTTATATCTATAGAGAGACTATATGTATTTTAAATGTATTATTTTCTATTCTCACTTTCTCACTATTCTTCTATTCTCAGTTTTACTTTAATTTAATTTTAACTAATTTACTAACACTACTTTCAGTGAAAGTGGTGAAATTAAAGCAGTGATATAATTGTAAAAATAAAATAAACACTTATATATACTTATATAAATAATGTAGTATAGTCATATATATATATACACATATATATGTGTGTGTGTGTATATATATATATATATATATATATATATAT